AGCCTTCTCTAAGTTGAATGACCATTTCACATGCTTGGGGTTAAAATAACTTGATATATCTGGATTGCTGAATATGTTGTTTAATTCGATGAAAGTTTTGGCATTATCCGATAAAAAGTGGTGTGGTACTCCACGTCTTGAGGTACAAGGTTGGAAACATCTGTGGAAAGTTGATGTCGTTAAATCTGGAACAAGTTCTAGGTGCACTGTCCTAGTAACACAACACGGGTAAAAACTTACATTCCACTTCTACTCGTTGCCACTGGCAACCTTTGATAAAACTGTCCTGTTTATTTTCAATACATGCTTAAAAGTATCCGTGTATCAGAAATATACAGAAAGAGTACTGTTCATTTCTGATACATGGATACCATTATACTGTTTTAGATACCTATCAAGCAATAAGTAGCGGACGTTTAGTCCGACCCAGATCGCAATTGATAACGATGGCTCAATGCAATGCACAAGGATAATGTACATGAAACAACTAGTCAAAATCATAGTAACAAAACAAACCGAGGGGAACTACATGGCAGTTCAAAAACATATACAATGACATTAAATTAACATAACAACATATTACAAAAATCAATTATTATACATATCAATTGGCACCTATTTCATAATTTGGTTTGATTTATAATATGTAAAATATATAAATTGGAATATTGAATAATTATTTTAATTAATTGTGATGATAGAAGGCGCAGTTCTCTTGCTGGACATTTCACAGGCATTGAAAATAAGCAAGATAAAAAAAACGCCTAGAAAGTCATAAACTTTATTACAAATAAATTTCAATGGATGAACCATCCGCCGATGCATACTTTCACCAGGAATGACCCACGTTTCGCATTTCCTTTACACTATATTTAATAATATCGCAGTCCTCTACGCCATGGACAAGTTGTTTTGACGATGTGGTCTAAACAAACACGTGATTGTTTTACGCACGTGTAAATACTACTCAGGTCGTCTCCACTGCGAAATCATTCTACCATGAAATGTAACGTGAGACTCAGAAAGGGATAAATGAAAGAGCAGAAAGTATTTGTCACTTTTCGGTTGAAACGACTCGATAATAAATACTATTTTTCACATTTTGCTTCACAATACTCGATAGAAATGTGATGTAAGTAACTTATAAGCACCTTTCTTCGGTGTATCGGTGAATATCAGGACAGTTTTGATCGGGCGCCGCTTCGCCTCGGCTTGGACCCTCGACTGGGCCCATCGACCAAAACTGTCCTGATATTCACCGATACACCGAGGAAAGTGTGCTAATAACTATTACATATCCATGTCTTAGGTGATGAAGCTTGGTGATTGGTTTTGATGAATAAAGGCCCGGCGAAATCTAATCCGACATGAGTAAGTGATGGGACTGCTGAACTCGAAATTCTGGTAGTGGTGGTTGTACCATAGGCTTGAGGGGCTTTCAATCCAATCTGCGACGGATTTTACATTTTACATTGATTGACTATTGTACGAACGTATTGGCGTCCTGTAATCAGCCAATATATGGATCTTAACTCAGTTAAGGTTGACTTGACTCCCTCGTGGCACACTCGGATGTGGGCTTGTTGGACTATGGACTTGGTTAGTTGGTGATCCTAAGTAAAACTGGATGCTTAGTTGACTCTGGAATTTTGGCATTGGCTATTCTTCCCTGCCATCGAAAGAGTTGATCTTCATCCTGATAGATGCCAAACTGTTTCTTCCAGGGCTCGCAATTCTTATGAGTAGCTATTCCATTCTGTGATTTTCTTATCCAAATAATTTCTGATTTGGTGATCTCTGCTGTGGTTATCATGGCTGGTGGAGATTTGGTAGCTGACTTCAGATAATTGACAAATCTGAATACCCAGACAGTTACTCGGATGAGTTTGGTGAAGGAACTATACCTTGTTACATCAATAACGTTGGCAATGGATGGCGGAATTTGATTAGTTTTTACTAACGAGCTTGAGGTAGTTGAGAAGATTTCTCTTGGTTTTAGTTTCATTTCAGCTAGACATTCTGCTATGGGTTCGTCCAAACATACTGGACTAGGTTGAACTTGAGGCTGGCTTAACCATACAGGTAATTCCTTCCATAGGTTACTGCTATGGAGTTCAAACAACTACTCCTCTAGAGGGGGGGGGGGGTCTGCTGAATTTTCTTTGGCTGGGATGTGGTTCCATACTTTAATTGGCGTGAGAGTTCTGATTTCATTCACCCTATTTTACACAAATTGTTTCCACTCCTTTGTTTGGTGCAAAATCCAACAGAAGGCGACCCTGGAATCAGTGTAACAGGATATATGGTCGATGTTGATCTCAAATTCTAAGGCATTCTGAATACTAACTATCAGTCTGGATAATATGAGTGCTGAGAGCAGTTCTAATCTGGGTATTGTCAGAAAATATGGTCTCAGATTTCATTTGTATGCCGATGATACTCAATTATATATTTCATTTACACCCAATTGTTCATCTACTTTCAATTTATCAAAATATCAACTTGAAAACTGTATTAGTGAAATTAGAAAATGGATGTCAAAGAACTTTCTAAAATTGAATGATGATAAAACCGAATATTTGTTATTAGGCTCAAGGCATCAATTAAGTAAATTTGCACACGATAACCCCCCTGTTGTAATTGTGATATATTTTCATCTTATTCTGCTCGTAATATTGGTGCAATCTTTGATAGTTTTATGCTTATGGGAGCTCAAGTAAATAATATTTGTAAATTGTGCTATTTTAATATCAGAAATATAGGTAAAATACGTAAATGTGTAACTGTAGAGGCCACTAAGTCACTTGTTAATTCCCTGGTCACTTCTCGATTAGCTAACATTAATTCACTTTTTAGTTGGTTTACCTTTAAAGCTTACAGATAAATTACAAAAAGTACAGAATACTGCAGCTAGATGTATTACTTTAACTAAGAAATGTGACCACATATAACTCCTGTTTTATATAATTGTCCCCCGACTTTTGAAGAAATCAGGGGACTATTAAAATGGGTTCGTCCGTCTGTCCATCCGTCCGCCTGTCTGCCCGTCACACTTTTTGGGACACAATAACTCTTTCTAATTGAGCTAGAATGTTGACACTTGGTGTAGGTGTTTATTAGGTCAATACCTTGATGGAGTTGGAAGATGAGCATTTTCCGCTTAGGGTAAGCGGAGATAAGCAATTTGATTGGTTGATGCTTTGGGACACGATAACTTTAGTTCTAATTAAGTGAGAGTGATGAAACTTGATGTATAGTTTCATAACATCAATTTCTTGACTAAGTTCGATAATGAGCATTTTCTGCTCAGGGTAAGCAGAGCGATAAGCAATTTGATTGGCCAAGATTTTGGAACACAATAACTCTCCTTCTAATTGAACTAGAATGTTCAAACTTGGTGTAGGTGTTTATTGGGTCAATGCCTTGATGGATATCGAAGATGAGCATTTTCTGCGTATGGTAAGCAGAGATAAGCAATCTGATTGGTTGATGCTTTGGGACACGATAACTTTAGTTCTAATAAGTGAGAGTGAGGACACTTGGTGTATAGCTTTATTACATCAATACCTTGACTAAGTTCGATGATGAACATTTTCTGCTGAGGGTAAGCAGAGCGATAAGCAATTTGATTGGTCGAGACTTTGGAACACAATAACTCTCCTTCTAATTGAGGTAGAATGTTCAAACTTGGTGTAGGCATTCATTAGGTAAATCCCGTGATGGAGTTCGATTATGAACATTGTCTGCTTACGGTAGGCCGAGATAAGCAATCAGATTGATTGATGCTATAGGGGCATGATAACTTTGGTTATAATGAAGTGAGAGCGATGAAACTCTGAATATAGATTCATTATATCATTACCTTGACAAAGTACGATTGTGCGAATTTTCTGCATGGGATAAGGAGCGATAAGCAATTTGATTGGTCAAGACTTTGGAACATAAAAAGCTTTTAATTGAGGTAGAATGTTTAAACCTGATGTAGATGTTCATTAGGTGAATGTCTTGACTGAATTCAATGATTAACATTTCAACCTAAAGCTAAGCAGAGCTAATCAATTTCATTGGTCGATGCTTTGGGACAAGATAATCTTGATTCTATCTGATAGAGAGTGATGAAACTTAGTGTGTAGTTTGATTGCTCGAAACTTTTGAAAAAAATAAATGTTCGATTAATTGATGTGTCATCTATTTATTTTGGGATTTCGGCGGGGGACATCAACATCACTGTTGGCTTGTTTACACTGGTTACCTGTTAAATATCGAATTGATTTTAAGATTTTATTACTTAATTTTAAATGTTTAAATAATTTAGCTCCTGTTTACCTCTCAGATCTTTTAGAACTTTGTACACCTGACCTAACATTACGTACATCAGATAAACTACTTTTAAATCCCAAAACTTTTCAACTAGTCTCTTATGGCCAGCGCTCTTTTAGGTATCAAGCACCTGTTTTATGGAATAATCTACCATTTAGTTTAAGATGTTGTACATCTCTAAATTCTTTAAAAAAACAACTTAAAACACATTTATTTAATGAGGCTTTTAACTGACTCTGTATACAATCGTTAACAATTCCATAATCTTGTTGTTTATTTATGATTACATTGTCACTTTGTAAAGTGCCCCTGAACGTGTTATATGAAAGGGTGCACTATAAATATGCTGTAATAATAATAATAATAATATTGTAGTAGCATTGGATGCGACAAATCTGACGGAGACGGTTGTACTGATTTGGATTCTCGTGTAAACCACTGCTGCGTATGCCTGCATGGATGCATCACAAAATCCCATTAACGGGATGTCTGTGGGTTTTTCTTCTATAGCTTCTTCTAATATCTGGGAATGGTGATTATGGTGTTGGATGACATTGAATTGACAAGTTGATTCCACTGGGTTAATAAGCTTTTCTGGATTGGTTCATCTCAGTCTAAGGATGCCTTGCATAATTCTTAGAACAGTATCTTGAATTTGATGATAATGGTGAAATAAAACCTAACGGATCAAAGAATTTTGATGTAGCACTGACCACGTTACGCTTGGTAGGTTCCATGACTTAGGCTGGGTGAGCTATTTCTTGTAAGTTGAACATAAATTCATCTGTGGAATAGTTCCATTCAACACCAAGTATACGTTGTGTAGAAGATTGGTCACATGATCTGTGGTAGGTCCCCAAGGTGGTCTTGGCAAAGGTTATGCCATCTTCCTGTGATGAACATGTAGTTTTTTGTGGGTTGGCACCATTGGTTTCATTGTTGTCGATATGTAATTTGGTAGTGGGGTGATTGGTTCGAAACTTTCTCAAGTTAAATCCCCCTTGTGCTAGAATTGATTTTGACAGATTATACAATTCAAAGGCTTCATCTTCACTGGCTGTGCTAGCTGTAACGTCATCAGCATAAATGGCCCTCATAAAGGTTTTAACAAATTCCGGATTGGAATCCTCAAATTGCTCCATATGGTATTTGATGGTGGCGTTGAGGAGAATGGTGATGAACTGACTCCAAAAACAACTCTTGTAAAACGAAGCGTTGAGATTTCTGGGTCTTCTTTGTGAATGTTGTCATACCAGAGAAAGCGAACAACATCTCTATCTTCTTCAGGTAAGCTGATCACCAGAAAAGCCCTTTCAATGTCACCAGTTATGGCTAGTCGATGGGATCGAAACCTGAGGATTATGTCGAATATTTTCTGGGTTCAAGGAGGTTCCTGCTTAAAGGCAATCATTCAATGATGGGGTGAAGTTAGTTTTGGATGACGCATCATAAACGATTCGGATTTTGGTGGTGGAATGGTCTTGTCGAATAACTCGATGGTGTGTTAGGTGATGGATGAGTCCCAAGCAGTTGTCTTTAGTTGCATCGCTGACCACTTCTATGATAGCCTGGTTTAGTTGATCTCGGATGACTCTGTCATATTCTTCAAGTAAAGGTGGGTTAGATTTCAATCTCTGGAAACAACTCTTGAGCTTTCTGAAACACATTTGGTAATTATCAGACAAGGTTGGGTGTGGTTTCTTCCAAGGGAGTTTGACTTCATATCTTCCATCTTTGAAGTTTATGGTTTGAGTGAGTTTTTCATAAATGGAGGTCTGTTTAACACCAATAGCTTCTAAATCCCAGAATTGCTTTAGCTGTTCCTCTAGTCCTATGTGGAGAGCAGTCACGAATATGAGATCTTCATTTTGTTCTTCCTCAGTGGTGTAGGTTGGTCCAGACAAGATCCACTCTAAAGACGTCTCCACTGCTGTGGGGCCTGGCTCCCTGGATACCACTCGTTCAGTGACAAAATCCCAGTAGTGGTCTGCACCCACGAGTATATGAATGGCACCACCGGGTTCGGGCTCTGGATAATCTGCTAAGGTTAACGAACTCAAATAACTGTGTGTAGATTTGATTTGGTTTACATCATAATATTTAGGGGGTTGACAGATTAATGGCTAGCACTGGTTGGAGGTGCCCGCCTTTGGTTTGGACTACAATTTCTACGACATCTATTTCCTAAGTGATTTCTTCATCAGACCCAAAAATCTTGATGCTAATGGATTTCCTGTCAATAGCGGATAGGTTCAAGTCTCTTTGTAATATTTGGGTTATGGAAGTCCGCTGGCTTCCAGTATCAAATGGCATTCGACAAGTCATGGTGGGTTTATTCTTGCAATGTGGATTTGCCACCAAAGCTCTAGCTGTTTGTGATAGGATGTGGTTGTGGCTCTTGGATTGATTCTGATCGGCTAACATACTTGTAGTGGCTTTAAATCCATTTCCTGGAATTACATTTCTGATGGATTCCTATGGAACTGGTTCTTCATTGGATCCATTTGTATTGGAACAAATGCTAATGTGGTGACGTTGATTACATTTGGGGCATACTCTTCGAGAGGGACAGTTACGACTAAAATGATCGCGACGCAAACAGATAAAACATCTCCCTTTCTTTGTCCGCAAATCCCTTCTGGCTTGAATATTAGTAATATTCTTACAGGAGTTGGATGCATGTTGTCCATGACAGTAAGTACAAGTTGGTAGGGATTGGTTGGTTGTAAATAGGGCTGCAGACGTAGAATAGTTATTATACAGGGGTATGCGCATGTTTGTGGACTGGCGCGGTCTTGCAAGGGTAGCTGAGCTTGTGTAATCTTGAGTTCTCTCCCTTGCTGACAATTCATGTTCGATGAGTTTAATCAAATGGTCCAGATTCCAACCCTCTTCAGATATTTCCCGGCTAATAATTAGTCGCAATTCACGTGATGGTTACCAAATCGTCTCTGCAAAATAGAAACTGCTTCAGAATAATTAAGAGAAGTCAAGGCTAATCCGGAAACGGCTACAGCTGCTGGTCCCTCCAAACAGGCATTTTTAAATAAGTAGTTAAACTTATCGATATCTGAAAGATTGTCATTATGATGGATGGCTGTGCTAAATGAATCCCAGAACGTCTGCCACGTGGATGGATCTCCTCGAAACTTTTCCAAGTCTAGTTTGGGTAAACTTATGTGGATTGATAGGCTAAGGTATGAGACTGATGCACGTGTGAGGTTGACTGGTGCCAAGTTTACGGCAATTGGGTTAGCACTAACAGATGGTGAGTTGGCAGTTGATTGGGGTTGTATCAACTGGATTATGGGTGGGTGAAGTAGATTGGTTACTTGAATTAGGTGACTGTGGATCGATTCCAATAACTGGTTCTGTAACAAGATTGGCCTGGTCTTGCTGGCTGTCTGTGGTAATGGGTGTTGGGCTCGGCAACTTCAAAAATTCGAGCATGGTCTGTAGTCCAATTCCTTCAGTCCCTCTGACTGTTCTATCTCATGTTTTATTTCTGCCTCATCTATAAAATTCAAAACTTGATCGCCGAAATTCATATATGTCTGTAATTTACTGTCTAAGGCTTGTTTGGTTTGGGATAAATTAATGACATGTTCGGAAATCTCATCTGCTTTCGACAAGGATTGACAGATCAACAATAACCCTGTCTTGTTTTAAAATCCTTATTTGTGCGGGCGTGATACAAGTTTGTTTGGGTCGTTCAGCAGTCAAAAGTAGAGAATAAAATTACGAAGTTAAGTAGATTTCTTTGGATTGTTCCATGAGTTACATTAGAATCGATCCGTCTGGATGTAGGATATTTCCTTTATATTGGCGACTCAAAGTCTATGGATGGATGGTTCATTTGGAAAACAACAGGTGGATTTTTAGGACTGTATTTAATGGATTACATTTTACAACTCATTTATCAAGTCTTTTCTAATTATATAGAATTTGTAATCGTGACATTCGCGACTATAGCTTTGGACAAGATTGATTTTCAAACGCTAGAGCGCAACAGTACCGGCAGCAACCGGAGACGACCGAAAACGAACAATACTAAATACAATAATATTTAATTCACCGACACAGCCCCAGAAGATAAAAACTAGCCCTATTCTAAGTACTAGATGTGTTAGTGTCCTACCTGTTGTGTAAATTATCCATTAAATCCTACCTTACTTGTCCAGAGGGTTCGAAAATATTTTTAAATCCAAGTCACATTTGAAAAGCTTTACGTTAGGCTTTTCAAATCATTTGAGAGCCATTTCTATCAAGGGAGGTAATAAGCTCCAAATTTGATTGACTTCCTGTTCTAAGAATAGCTTTCCATAATGTCACCACCGGGATATCCCCCGCGTGTGGTTAATGGCATTCTATAGACAGTCCTTCCGCGGATAATCTGCTTGTATTGTTTACAGATATATAGGCTAGCCTATAACACGCCGGTGTGAATACTTGTCTACGATATCACCTATGGTGGAAGTGGACTAAAAACTTCAGGAACGAACGAACGGTGTCAGTATCATCATTCGACATTGATTGACAAGTGTTGATTTTTTCCGTCGATTGACAAGTCGGAAGTAATATTTAAGTCACGCGTGTAATTATTAGTAGATCATTATGTCTATTGATTCTGCTAAGAAGCGCAAACAAGCGGGATATCGGAGAGATGGTCGTTAACAAATGTGAATTTGGTAACAGAGCAGATTAGGTGGGAAGAATTGAAGGACTAATTGATATAAGTTGACTGAACATAGAAAGCCGTGAAGAATGGGCAACCAGACAAAGCTGTTATTATATATAATAATACAGGTAAATTGCAACAAAAAAAATATGTTATCAATAAAAACTAAATTCAACCTATTCTTATAAGCTTATTATTTGCCATGGGAAAACATCATTTTTAAAAAAAAACAAAACATTAATTGTTTATGTTTATAAAAGACGCAAAATATTGTTTCTATTCTTTCGCAATTCAAGGGCAGATCTAGTGGGGAACGCACCAGATTCTTGTTTCATATGACTGGAAATAGGGAGGCCACCTGCATGGTCTTCGTGCTCGCAAAGTCCGAATTAGTTGCCTGTGTCCACCCTTTATCCATGGTCTCTGAATCCGCCTTTGTAATTTTTAATTTTCCATTTTTATTTTTTATTGTTGACTGGGCTTTTGCACCAATGAAAGGAGCCAAGCATTATGGCTTCATGTTATCCTTGCTGTATATTATGGTGAAGACCCCTGGGCCCAGATGCCAGTCAAATCTATAAACCTTAGCCTCGGCAGATCACAGCACATTCGCACACAAACCCCGTGAAATTATACCTTGGACGCTACCCTGCAAAAGGCAATGTGTCTTTATTTATGGAAACAAAATCGAATAGGCGTACGTATTATTGATCTCACATCTCATACCCATACAGGTCTAAGCATACTATGTGGCTTCTCTGGCACATTCTAAGGAAACGATATCACCCTAGGTGGAAACGGGCATTAAACCTAAAGCCAAATCATGAAGGAAAAGACCACTGGGTGGGGCTGACCTCTGAAAGATTGCTGGGACCATTGCCACAACCAAGCCTGAACCAACTTCAGAAATAGCCGACAAGAAAGAGAACACGATTTTAATGTAAGATTTATTCATTTTCATAATAGTCTTCTTGGAATGAATTAAAACCAGTATACTGTCCGTATCTTCAGGACAGAACAGGAGGGTATTAGACTATTAGGACTCTATTCCCTGTAGTATCAAGGCGTCACATCACAAACTGCCTGTAATTCATGTGTCGTCTCTGCGATTATACTTTCGATGGCCTACACTACATAAAGATCTGGCCGGTTGTAATGGAAGGTCGCGTCAGAAGTCATACGAGCGGCGTTTGACTCTATGACGTCAGATATTTGATTAACCAATCAGCGTTGATGTTTCTTGTGGGTTACCCACACTTCCGTGAAATTCACGCCAAAAACTTCCCGTAACACTTCACATCATTCAGAACGTCGGTTATATATAACAACTTTTCCTGATCCTAGTGTAGTAAAGACAAGTAAAACGAAATTTTGAACTATGAAAAACGAAACGAAATAGGACCCCTGGGCCCAGATGCCAGTCAAATCTATAAACCTTAGCCTCGGCAGATCACAGCACATTCGCACACAAACCCCGTGAAATTATACCTTGGACGCTACCCTGCAATGTGTCTTTATTTATGGAAACAAAATCGAATAGGCGTACGTATTATTGATCTCACATCTCCTACCCATACTGGTCTAAGCCTACTATGTGGCTTCTCTGGCACATTCTAAGGAAACGCTTGTCTGTGATATCACCCTAGGTGGAAACGGGCATTAAACCTAAAGCCAAATCATGAAGGAAAAGACCACTGGGTGGGGCTGACCTCTGAAAGATTGCTGGGACCATTGCCACAACCAAGCCTGAACCAACTTCAGAAATAGCCGACAAGAAAGAGAACACGATGTTAATGTAAGATTTGTTCATTTTCATAATAGTCTTTGAATGAATTAAAACCAGTATACTGTCCGTATCTTCAGGACAGAACAGGAGGGTATTAGACTATTAGGACTCTGTTCCCTGTAGTATCAAGGCGTCACATCACAAACTGCCTGTATGCCATGTGTCGTCTCTGTGATTATACTTTCGATGGCCTACACTACATAAAGATCTGGCCGGTTGTAATGGAAGGTCGCCTCAGAGGTCATACGAGCGGCGTTTGACTCTATGACGTCAGATATTTGATTAACCAATCAGCGTTGATGTTTCTTGTGGGTTACCCACACTTCCGTGAAATTCACGCCAAAAACTTCCCGTAACACTTCACATCATTCAGAACGTCGGTTATATATAACAACTTTTCCAGATCCTAGTGTAGTAAAGACAAGTAAAACGAAATTTTGAACTATGAAAAACGAAACGAAATAGGATCTGTGTTTTAATCAGATTGCATTGGCAAGATCCAGAACTCCCGGCTCTAAACCATACTCTTTAAACTCCTGAAAAAATTAAATTAAACATACTTTATGTAAGAGCTAAATCTGCCTATTGCAGGTCTTACTTTAGGCCTGAAATGTTATCTAGATTATTAATTAGACATTAGTTAACTTATCCAGACCATAATCAACCCTCGATGTCATCGCTAGTCTGCGATATTTGCCGGATTGAAATCCAATCTGCTGCTCAACACTGATTAAATCAAAAAATGGATAATCAAGATTATGTTTTTATCGTACCGACTTTATTTATGATGATCGAGGCTAGGCCTAAAATTCAATCGCTAAATTATCGGTTCAGAGTGGATCAATTTGACTGAAATTTTCAGAAATTTCCCTTTACATTATCTAGTTTTTAACAATTACAGTGAGAATTGGCAGCTCTTTATCTAATGTCCCATAATGAATCTTTAACTATTTGGTAAATCTGTTTTTAGTAAACCGGGTAATTTGAAAAGGAGTGAAATGAAGGCCTTTTAACTACTGCTGTTCGACTACCTACGCCTATGACATTAGTGTTCCAACTTCCTTGATGAAATCTTTCGAAGAATATTATGACAAAAAAAATCAATTACTGGTTGTAAAGAAATACAATTCTCTGGTCTGTTACCACAACATATATATAGGCATAACTCCACATCTGTCACAGGAATTGGATTTGGTGATTGGCTTGACTGTTGATTCACAACTTCTTCCAAAATATCAAACAAAATTAAAGGCATTATTTCAGCAAAAGACAACGAATGTCTCCTTCGTCCATCTACTTCTAGCTCATTTCCCATTTTCTGAAATTTGAAAATTGTGTTAGCAATTTGTAAATAGTTATCCCGCAGCTCATAATATACTGTTTGAATATTTTATATAATTATCAGATATGACCATACATATTTTTGTATTTCTTTGTAAATATATCAGCTTATTTTTTTATAAATTAATTATTTAAAAATAGCTGCTCCTCTTGAGCTAATATTTTTTGTTTTTTTTATATAATTACAAGAAAGTGTGTAAAAAATAATCCATCGTGAGTTTCAAATTTTGTTATGTAAATATTTCAATAATTATTAAAAATGTGTTCTTTGTAAACATTCTTCTATTTTTGTTTTTTTATGTGTAAATATATTACGACTATTAAAAAGAAAGTTTATTCTTACTCTGTGCGTTCCTTTCTGAGTCTTTCAACTCACTCCCTTGTTGTGTCAGTTTTCCCATTTTCCCTTTTGCCATGTGGGGGTGGATAGAGGGGTGATTTCATGACATGTTACATGTAATTGCAACTTCCGCCTATATCTTATAGTCCTTGATCCTGTCTTCATTAGCCCAGTATAGGAGCAGAACAGTAGGACGTTAAACCCCATTTCATTTCATTTTTTTAATAGTCCTTGATGTAGATAGTGCTGTTGATTTTGAAGGTTGTGTTGCATTAGTAATTTCTGGCATAGTTTGTAAAGTAGGTGGTGGGGATTGCCAATACCGGGTAATGAATCTAATGATTCCACCTGGCATGTCCGACACAAAAACGGTAGATCCGTTCGAGTTTTAACTGATCTCAAATAGACTGCTTTCGCGGCAATACCAGAAAACAACCGGAAAACACCGGAAAACAACCGGAAAACACCGGAAAACAACCGGAAAACAACCGGAAAACACCATTTTATACTGAATACCGGAAAACACCGGAAAACACCCTAAATACCGGAAAACACCCTAAATACCGGAAAACACCCTAAATACCGGAAAACACCCTAAATAGGTAACCCGGAGCCTGGTCCTCTGTGTGCGGTTTTGGACCAAGCGAGCGCCGATGAAGGAAGGTCAAGGTCATTACGATGTTCGTTTTACAAATAGCCCCCCACCCCAAAAAAAAAATTTCTGAATTTTTTTTCTCCCAAATTTTTTTGAACAAAAAAAAATTTTTGTCACAAAAAAATGGAAATTTTCCGAGAAATTGGTTTTACAAAAAAACATTCCGTAGAAAATAATTTTACAGAGAAATATACTGGAAAAAAATTTGAATTTTTTTTTGAGAGAAATTTAGGAGAAGAAATTGTTAAAAAAAAATCTGAAAAGAAATTTTTCTTTGACCGTAGGCGATCGCTCGCTTGTATGTTAATGAACTTATTTCATCAGCGCTCACCTGGTCCAAAACCACACACGAGGACCAAACTCCGGGTTACCAAATAGCTACCGGAAAACTTAGAGTAAACTGTGCCCGAGATTTTTTTTAGAGAGCGCGTCGCGCCGCGCCGCTCCGGGAGGGATCTTCGTCAGGGTGGGACGGGGATGGAATTGTCCAGTCACGTGACGAACATAGATCTTCCGTTCCTCAACCCATATTATTTCCACAGTCATTGTCATTAATCACAAATTACGGGATGATATACGAAAATGCAGGTTTACTTTGAAATAGTTCAAATGATACTTTTCCATCTACAATCTTCAGATCAAAGGATTCAAGTTCTTATACAGTGCAGCATAATTTGTGCAACAGAAGACATCTCGAATATCGATTGTCGGAAAAAACATTTTCTCGGGGACATTTTTTTCCGAATACGCATTCGGTGTAAGTCTTCAGCCACCAGGATGTGGTTAACATAGAAATGTTTTATTACGATAGTAGTACATAAAACAAATTGGTTGCCTGAGGTTCTAGGGGGGGGGGGGGCTCATCGGCTAGAGTCCTCTATTTCACAAACAACAACTGCTTCCTTGAAAATTTATCGATCAACCCTTTTCACAGACGTCCAGCTTACCACTTCCCGTCAATGCAGTAAGATAGAATATGTAGTTTTCTCATGGACAATTGGGCGATAGTTGGGGCTTTCTCAAGAAAACTGGTCAACAAGTTGGGGAAAAAAGCTCGAAAAGTAATCCAGAAAAAAAATCCTGTGTGTGGACCTCGGGATATGATGAAATATGTTGAATATTATTATGGTTCAAGTGATTATATTTGACCCTGGAATGAAAGTAAGCTCAGAAACAAGTAGATTTTTAGCCCTTCCAACGAGGTGGATAGCTCTTGGAAAGGATAGACACTTTTCAGATTACAGCCTGTCCGAGAATTGCGTAGCATCCATTTCGTTTGGTGATTAGGACACATAGCGGTTAAACCTGGAACTTCAACTCGAACTATCCAGAGATTTATTAACTCGCTTTTGATGATACTTGCTGTTTTATGATGCGATTTTTTGTTACTCAGGGAGGAGTTGGCCTAGTCGTGCCTTCCACTAATTCGTACCACCCTGATGCCAGCGTTACTGGTAAGAATCAGGAGACCGGCGCAACCGGCATAAAATGGGGCCCTCCGAGGGCAGTGTTTAATCTACTGATATACTGAAACACTGAAATCTACTGAAAGTTACTGAAAACTAAAATTAAAATACAAAATAACATATGGTCAATGATGGAGGTAGATTGATTGCGTCTTTTAAAACTTCAAAACATAATAGGCATCAACAAAATTTTGGAGAAAAAAAAATCGGAATTTTTTTATTTTATTTTTTTTTGGGGGGGGGGGGGTGGCTATTTGTAAAACGAACATCGTAATGACCTTGACCTTCCTTCATCGGCGCTCACTTGGTCCAAAACCGCACACAGAGGACCAGGCTCCGGGTTACCTATTTAGAGGGTTTTCCGGTATTTAGGATGTTTTCCGGTATTTAGTGTTTTTCCGGTGTTTTCCGGTATTCAGTATAAAATGGTGTTTTCCGGTTGTTTTCCGGTATATAGTATGGCCCCTGCTTTCGAAATACCTGTAAAACCAAAATGCAAGTAAATATGTAAGGTTTTCCAGAATTCATATAAAATTCTAGCCAATATGTCTAATTTAAATTAATAATTACACACAAGAAATTGTTCTAATCCGTCCCAACTGCAGAAATAAATCTTATGAATGATTTATTTAGCTTGAGTTGATATTACTGACTGAGGGTGAAATTTCAAATAATCAGTTCTAAGATCAATCAATAATTTTAAAAAAATGCAGCTTGGTGAAGCCTAGCTGCGAGAACATAGCTAAAAACTTTGAGATATACTGGTGTGTTTCTTTTTAGCTACGATTGGACGCCTTTAGTTCCAAGTGGCAAACTCAGTTTCTTTATTAATGCACGTAGGGGATATTTGATTTTGGGGGCATAATACTAAAATATGCAAATGAATACGAAAAAAGTCACTATAGAACCTAACAGAAGAAACATTTCCAGTTACATGTGACGCCCAAACGCACCAATAGCTACCGCATGGAATGCAGGTGATGCTTGGGATCATCATGGGGGTCCAACCCAAGATTTGCACGACTCTGACTTTGAATGTTACAGTCATTGTGGCATTGAATTCCAGGGTGGAAACATCAGTTTAATTGTTTTAGTGACCAGAAAACAAATTTTGATATGCGTCGGCTTACCCAAAATGAAAGGTTACGTGCCCTTGGCATGCTACAGATCGGCACAACACAGGCGGTTGTGGCGCGGACGATGAATGTTTCTCAGTCTGTCATAAGCAGGCTATGGTCCAGATACCGTGATACACAATCTGTACAGGACAGACCACGCTCAGGTCGACCAAGGGCGACAACTCAAGCCCAGGATCGATTTATCCGTACCTTGGCCTTGAGAAATCGTGTCATCACAGCAAATCAGATCAGCGCTCGTCTTCAAACAGACACTGGTGTGAGAGTGAGTGGCCAGAAGATTCTAATCGACTGCATAGGGGTCACCTTCGCGCCCGACGTCCTCGCGTGATCCCTTGTTTGAGAGATCATCACATTGAGGCAAGACGTCGTTGGTGTAGGGATCGTCAACACTGGGATAATCGACGCTGGAGCAATGTGATGTTTTCAGATGAGTCAAGGTTCACTGTTGATTTTTTGGACAGACGTAGGAGGGTGTGGCGTCGTCGAAACGAGCGCTTCCAAGACGTTAACGTCATCAGACATGATCGATTTGGGGGTGGTTCTGTTATGGTGTGGGGAGGCATCACTGTTGCTGGAAGAAAGGCTTTACATGTTGTTGCAGGGCGTGTTACAGGCCAGTACTACCGGGACAACATCTTGGCAGTCCATGTTGTGCCGTTCGCACGACGTCATGGCCGCCGTTTCATCTTCCAGGATGACAACGCAAGATGTCACAGGGCCAGCATCGTTACAGGTTACCTCCAACAACAGAACATCACCACATTACCTTGGCCAGCACTGAGTCCCGACCTCTCCCCCATCGAGCATGTCTGGGACATGCTTGGACAGAGGTTACGTCAACGTCAACAACGTCCTGCCAATGTCCAAGAACTTGCTGCTGCGTTGCAACAGGAATGGGACAATCTGGACCAAAATGACCTTAGACGTCTCATTATGAGTATGCCACGTCGGATCAATGCTTGTTTGGCAAACAGAGGAGGATTTACCCGTTACTGACTTGGTTGTGATGCTGTGGTAACTTTGCTGTTTGACCCCGGGTATCATTTTACCCTTATAATGGTCAGTCTGTGCCTTACTTAGTCTAACGATCATTTGGAATAAATCGATGAATGTGAACTTCATTTCATTTTGTCATTTGTTTCTTCGTCAGTTTCATTAGGTGACTTTAATAACACTTAAAAATCAAATATCCCCTACTTTTTTTGAATAGTATATTATGACCAATTAAACTTACAGAGGCCAATGTAGTGGCACAACTATCGCCGAACTCCAAATATTCGCGTTTAAATTAATGAAGCGTTGTTTTTATCCGACATACACCGTCATACATCTCCCGTTTAAAAATGGCTATCTTAGTAACGGCTTAACGCCTCGATTTTAAATACGATGATTTATACCCGTTTCAGGTAGGATTATATGCTTAATTGTAGTTGGATGTGGCAGAAATATTATAAATAACAATCGTCATTTTGATGGAAAGTATTGTCAATTTTGCTTACTGAACCCGATACGTTTCGCGCGTTGGGCTTTTTGCTACGTGGAACTATATAGGACCATCTCTTATCTCGAAACACGGAGGGTTGAGAGATGAGGTTTGTTATCTAGGTGAAGCCA